ACTTAAGGGTTGTTCAGGTTCAAGGATAACTAGACAGAAAGTCAATTGTTGTTAGGAGACAGAATGTTTAATATTATTGTTATGACGTGTTGAACCATAATCGTAGTCATAATATTTTTTTAATGCTTAATGTCATTTCAGAATGTTTTTAGCTACACACCACATAATCAACAGACATTCACACATTGATTTTCTTCATGCTTTGACTACTGCTATGGCCAGCTGCAAACCTGGCGTCGGGAGACGTCACGGTTTGGCGTCCCTGTAGTATGGGGTTAGCCCGAAGTGATATAATGTATAGGCCTGTTATGGTTCAGGCCTTTTCATCTTTCAGCTGCCTGCGTGCATGTTGGAGGTGCAAAGACTCCTGAGCGTGTAATGTTAATTTTTTACCTGTGTTCATTGAATAAATCAGCACTGTTTTGAAGTTACTTGGGCTGCCTCGTCTCTAAGAGTTAACGGTGAAAAGAACTGGGTATCCAACAGCTGCATCCGCAACCTGTCCGTCTCTTTGTACAGCAGGGCCAGCATCGTGCTCGTTGTCCACCATTTTGTGCGCGAGAGAATGTACGTAATCCGAACTTGCAAAAAGAGAGCGTCAAAAGGTGCAAAAAAATGTACTAACGTCTCCGCAGGTTAAAGTGGCGATGTCCACGTAGTTTAATATGAAAAACAATCGTCCCAGCAACAACCATCCCACCTCTGCCACCAGTGTAACGTGTTCTACCTTCTTCCTATTGTGGCGCTCCACTGGTTCGGATGAGTGGAGCTGGTCTGACCCTATCCTATACTGGGACATCTAACTATCCAGCTGTGTGCTGGCACCTACACTGACAAGGAGAACACTGTCTCTGTCTTTTCTTGGCTTTATTCAGGCATACAAAAACAAGAAAGAAAATGGTTGCAAAACGCAGCACTATGTGCTCAATGGAAAAAGTAACAAAAACAGAACATTACAGGTCTCTCCCCCGAACTTCACCATCGCCCGCCAACAGAACCAACACGGCACACCCACCTGTCATCCCTCTGGCCCTCCCGCACCTGTTCCTCCCCCCATCCCACATTGGCCAGAACAGCGTGGCATTTCGCAGAAAACAGCGGTAACCAATACAAGCACATTATTCGAACATTACGGCTGCACCCACTTAACACAGAACAGAACATAAACATAAACATAAGCAGCTGGTCAGGGCCGCCACACTATATTCCGTCGTCCTCTCCTCTCTCTTCTTTTTCCTTCTGCACGTCTACTGCGAGTTCTTTGGATGTTGCAGGGGAGACAGTAACGTGAACGTAGTCCAGGGGTGGGCAATTATTTCTTCCATGGGGCCACATGAGAAGCAAAAATATTGTGGAGGGCCGGGCCCAAAGGCTGAACTCAATTTTGCATAATATTAATTGTATTTCTTTATAAAAAGCAATAAATAGCATTGTTTTGACAAGCTGGTAAGAGTATATGTTATAGTTGAGCAATGAAAAAGTGAGGTTGCCTTACAAAAAATGTCATTTATTCAATCAAATTTCCCAAAACAATGGTAAACATAATGTGAACATTTTTTACCATTTGTGACTCGTATTAGTGAACATTTTCAGTCATATTCACTCCAGAACACATTTTGAGTTTCATATACTGTTGGAAAGTTGTGTAAAGGTTGTTAGCATTCTAAAAACATCACAATATTTTCTTTGTGCTCCAAACATTAAGCAAAATAAATCTTATTGAACTGTCACTGAACATCACTGAACTGTGATTTTGAGAAAAAGAAAGTGTCCCAGTTCATTGCTAGTTGGTGTCTTTCCATGCCTACATTTGTTGTCTAACCACCTCATTTCGTGTTTTCTTTTTTCTTGTTCAGTGAGAGAAATCTAGTCTCTGCTGGGCTTTAATGAGTGCATCAAAGTCAGGTTGAATGTCTGAGGTGGCGATGCGAAGCACAGCTGACAGATGATCATCAGTGAGAGATGATCTAT